AAATGAACACACACCATGAATTTCAACACACACCTTTCACTCTTCTGCTTTCTCTTTCTTAAAGAAAGTGGAAACTGTGCAATGTTATTCAAGAGCAATGCAAATAAGCAGAATTATAGTTAATGAGCAAAGCGTCACGCCCATGATATTTCAACTTATGTTTGCTGCTTTGATTTCAAGTAGATTTGAATGACCATTTAAGAAGAAGAAGAAGAAGAAGAAGAAGAAGAAGAAGAAGAAGAAGAAGAAGAAGAAGAAGACATATTGACTTTTTTTGCAGTCTCCTCAATATGGAGGGATATTTGTCTGGAAGAGCTTATGGGAAAGGTTTGTCTTATATAGGCACAACAGGCCAACTCAAATTTACCAACCTTTTTTGGGGGGAGGGTGTTAGGTGTAATCTAACACTCCATGCACACTGGATTTTGCAACCAACTCCGTTTTTCAGGAACCAGCAGGTATTCCTTAAGGCACACTCTGCAAGGATGTTCTTTTGTGCAAGATGGCACCAGTAGGGTTCACACAAGAGATCTCCAAATTCTAGTAAGGCAAAGCTGAATTTGCTAATGTGCCAACATGCCATGTCCATCAACCAATTCCCTCTCTATGGTGACATTCTGCAGGAAGTCCCCACCCAGGTTTTGTGTGTGTGACTATTTATTACTTGAAGAGACTGCAGCTTCACCGACTATTCCCCACTCACTATTTTAAGAGGAATAGATTTCTGCACACTGTTCCTCACCCAAATAATTTTGATCCAGGTTTGCATCCTGCACCTGGCTCAGGAATGTGAGTGAAAGGAAGTGGTTACCACTTTGCATTGTCTGTCTTCTTCAGTGGTTGCATGCGTACAACTTTAGCTCCCCTCCCACCCCCATAGTGACAGTTCGCTGACAATGAATGCATACCGGGCTGTTCATGTAATCTTGCATTGACAAGATATTTCCTGTGTATTTAAGCTACGCTTAGCAGAAATGCAGGCAAGCCTTTTTCCTTGTTTTAAAAAACGTGGTCATCAACTTTTTTTTACTCTTTTGGGAGGCAAGGATGTTCTGGTTTATGGCTCAAGTCAACTCGACCACCCACCCCCCACCCCGGAAAAAAAAAACATTTCCCAACTGTGCCCCTCTTTTTTTTTCCCCAGTCAAAAGCCCAATCAGGGGAGCAGGGCATTTTCAAAGGCAAGTTGGAGCAGAGATCCCGGGTAGGTTGTGAACCTGTTTGTTGACACTGACTAGAGTTAAGCAGGTAAGTGCTAATTCAGGAAGTAAAAAACAAAAATGCTGGAACCAAATCAAAGCTTGGCTGCTGAAAGTAAATGTTAGCTTTGTGAAGGGGCACAGACGAGTGAGCTAGCTGAAAAGCCCGCTGAAAAGAGAGAGAGAGAGAGAGAGAGAGAGAGAGAGAGAGAGACTAGAGGAGAGAAAGCATTGTCTCTCCTGAACTACAGTACTTTGTCCCTTACAAAGACGCTTTATGAGAAATGAAAGGTAATCTCAAGTAGCCCCCGATTTGGAAGGAGAAAATAAATAAATAACCGAAGCACTTCTTTTTCTCTCCATTTAATATTCTGTCTTTTGCTCGCTGTTCAGATCTCAAGAGCACAGGATCCATGAGAGAACTCCCAAATGCAAAAAGCCTGGATCTAATTTGGAATTACTGATAATAAGCCTGTCACGTTTTTGGCACGGGAAGTCATTCATTTTTATTTTTATTTTTAAAAAGCGTGCTTGGAGACCGCCCCCCCCCCCTTGAGACGGAGTTCTGCACAAGAACTTCTAAAGGCATCCTTAATGGCAAACAGAATTCGACTTTTGAAACATCGTATGTAAAATAAAATAAAGGGCAGGGACTGTACTTGAGGGGGGAATAACGAAGAGAGCGCATCTGTACAACTCCAAACAGATACTTACTGGTCCGGTCGAATCCCGGGTGTCTGCCTCCATTTCTCGCTTGGTTCAAGGTGCTGTTGTTGCTGGAGCTGGCCGGAATGGGTTTCACCACGTGGGAATAAAGGATCTCGGTGGCATCGTTCTTGAAAGCCCAGCAGCCCTTCAGGAGCAGGCAGGCGAGCAGAATGCCAGAGAGCTGAAGAGCGGAGAGGAGCATGGCTGGCTCAAGTTGTGCGCGCGCCTGTTGAATCCCAGCTCCTGCTGCTGCTGCTGCTGCTTCCTCCGCCGCCTTTTCTGCAACTGTGAAATTCCTCCCAGAGACTCCCTTTATATAGTCCCAGAGGCTTGGCACTCGTGGAAGTGTAAGCTTGGGGAGAGCTTCAGGATGAAAACACAGACAAGGAGAGGGTGGGATCCCCTGGAAGCAGCAAAGGATTCTTTTTTTTTAACCAGTGGAAGGCTGGAGCAAAGGAGGAGCTTAAGGGGGAAAAGTCACTAATTGCAGGATTCCTAGGCCAGGTTTTTGAGGATGGAGAGAGGGAGGGAGGGAGGAATCTAAGAGCTGTTCAGTAGCAACCAGACACTGCAGAGGGGATAAGCTGGTTTGCCGTTTCTGACACTCTGCATACCTGACTCCCCCTCTCACCTGCTGCATACTCACAATACCTGTAAAGCACATTCGAAGAGAAATCTGGGCACTGTGGTTAAGGGTTGCTGGGGGGAATTGTGACTATGGGAGTTACAGTGCCCAGAATTCTCTGAGGGGGAATGGTGTGCTTTGAACATGTTTGGATTCAAGGTTTCAGGTGAATGCAGCCTGAATCACTGTTGCCAGCAAGGATTTGTCTTCCAAAGACTTTCTACTACTGTATTGGGTGGGTGGGTGGGAGATGGATTTTGTCATTTATGTGAAAGATGCAAAATTGTTCTGCACACTGCGGAAAAGGTTCAGGGCAAGCATACTTTTCTGGAAGGGGGAGAAAAAGGCAGCCCACTATATGTGTCCCGTGAATAATTTAATGATGGCCTAGAGAAGGATTTTAATAATGTAGCTTTGATCAAGGCAAAGCTTTCCTAAAGCAACGTTTGTGTTAGGGGAATCGTCTCTTCTCAATGTGCTAGAAATTCTCTGCTGTACTTCTCTGACACTGCTGACAAAGATAATGTGCATTCTTTGCCCCAAAGGAAGTTTCTTTAGACAGCTTCGGCAGCTCACATGGCCCAAGTTAGCCTCATTAAGCCCAGTGGGAATATTCTAGCATAAGTGGCACATAACTTGGAGCTTTCACTTCATGAATCGTCTACTGCTATTTGAAGGCTGTGAAAGTATATTTTACATAATGAGTAATAATAAGCTGTTCTGCAAAGAGGGGGAAGGAAATCTCGCTTTGACCTGTAGCGTTCTGCTGATGTCTTACTTCCAAATATTAAGCATTCATTTGAGATTCCTCTCCCTGAGATACGGGGCAACTGGTCCTGCAATGACCACATGCAGTGCCAAGCCACTAACCATAGTTTAAGCGAATTAGTCTGGCATGCCTCCACTTTGCTCCTTCCTCCATTGGGGGGGGAACAAGCATACAGTACAGCTGATTTAGTGTTATGTCTGACACCCAGTGAGATGTAGTGGTTAGAATGTTGGATGAGGAGGACCTGGGAGATCTGGGTTCTAATCCCCACTTGGCCATGAAGCTCTGGGTGACCTTGTGCCAATCACTCTCTCAACCTAACCTACCTCACAGGGTTGTTGTGGGGATTGAATGAGGAGGGGGAGAACCATGTATGCCACCTTGAGTTCCTTTGGAGGGGAAAAAAGCTGGGGCAGAAATGCAAAAAATAAACAAATAAATAAACCAGCACTCTTAGCTGGCTTTGTTCCAACAACCAATGTTTGTGGTACCCAGATTGTAGCTTGTTTGGCAGAAACACGCTTCACAGCTGGATTCCTGCAAGGCACTCTCTGCACTTGATCTAGGTCAGGGTTTCCCCAACTTGGGTCTCCAGCAGTTTTTTGGGACTACAATTCCCATCATCCCTGGCCACTGGTCCTGCTAGCTAGGGATGATGGGAGTTGTAGTCCAAAAACAGCTAGAGACCCAAGTTTGGGAAACCCTGGCCTAGGTGCTGCAGTTAGTGCAGAATGCTGCAGCGTGATTGCTGACAGGAGCGAAACCTTATCAACATATAACACTTGTGCTCGGATGTTGCACTGCTTGCAAATTTGCTACTGGGACAAATTCAAGGCATTACTATATAAAGCCCTTAACAACTTTATTTATCTGCAAGTTTATCTGCAAGATCACATTGCCTTATGTCCACTTGACCACTTCAGCGTATGGAACTGGCCACTGGCCACATAAGGTCCATTCTGCATTTGTAAGAAATCACTTTAGAACTCCCAGCAAGTACATCTATTTCCAAGTAGGTGCACCAACCTGCCATTTCAAGTAGTGCATATTTTGCATGCACATACTGAACTTGTGCAAACAGAGGCAAAGGACACGTGGTCAGAGCAAAACCTCCAGGTGTTGTTGGACTACAACTTCTATCAGTCCCAGCCAACATGATCAATGGTCAGGGATGATGGGAACTGTAGTCCGACAAGTATTTGAAGAACCACCATGAGCTAGATCTAACACATCACAGGGCACTTCATATGAGTTCCTGTATAGCCTCTTCTATGGAGCAACATTATAGCACATGCTTCCTCTGTTCAACGCTTAACCGGAACCCCCAGAAGTGGAAAAAAGAAAAACCACCTATACCCAACACATTTGTGCAACCTCAGTTGTTTGATGTACAATTTAATCCAATTCAGACTGATGTAGCTAAATTTAGGTTGAATGCCAAATACTGAATTCTGGCTGGATGTGGCATCCCCAAGGCTTTTACCTTCACCATTTAAGTTAATGAGAACGATGCCACTCATGTCAACGATGGGAGATCGTGCACCACCCAGGTGACAGCTTCTGTGGAAGAGACGGAGGCAAGCAGGAGGTGTTGAAAAGCAGAACCCATAAGTCTCTTGGCAGCTGCGAGTGAGGAGAGCTCAATCCGTACCTGCCTGTGTTATTATAACTGGCCACACCCTTTTCTGGAATAGCAAGAATGTTGCAGGTTGGAACGGCGGTGTATTAGCAGTTGCTTTTGTGTGGAAAACCTTGATCAGGACTTGGCGGTCCTGTGTCTCGCCACAGCCAGACGATCAGCTCTCCTCTTTTATACCTATCCAATTTAACCCACCAAAAAAAGTAGACATGATGAAATCTATTTTGCTTTTATAAAGCAATTATAAAGTAAGGCTGCCTTGTATTAAACGATTCATAAAGGCACGCTCAGCTGTATCAGAAAGATATTGTATATAATTATGACTTACCCAAAATATGCTTCTTTTGTTTCTCCATGTGCAGCCTTCTTCCTCTGTACTACGTAATGGGGAACAGAAGAGCCTAGTGGAAGTGAGCGCTTTCTGTCCAATAAACAGCAATGGCAACACACTAGGCATGCTGCCGGTCCCATTTTTGAAGTAGAATCGAGACAATACAGATTTCCCATTGTTCTGCTTTGGATTTCTGCAATGGTGTGGTTGTAAATTCTGAAGTGCTTCTATGCCACACACATACACACAGAGAGAGATATACACAGAGAGAATTTTTGACCAATGCAGACATTATGGCTTCAACATCAAACCAGCTTTTCCCCCCCTCAGCCCCACTTCCCCTGCTTTGCTTTATGTCCAACCTGAAGAACAGCTCTGGTGGACTCTCTGCTTTGTGACATTTTGGTTGGACTCATAATAAATGGATTTTTTCAGAACAGAAGTGGCAGTTTTAAACCTGAGCCAGTAGTGGTCAGTGAGGAGGAGCAGAAGTGCTAACCTCAGCCTTTTATCACAGACATTGCTGTGGTTTACTGGGAAGAAGCAAAGTGAGGTTGGCTTGGTGCAAATGCACTGGCAGAACCAATGTGTCTGCACCGTGCTGAGCTCACCACCACTTCTCACCTGCAATGGATCTGCAATTTCAAAGTGGTGTAGTGGTTAGGAGCGGTAGTCTCGTAATCTGGGGAACCAGGTTCGCGTCTCCGCTCCTCCACATGCAGCTGCTGGGTGACCTTGGGCTAGTCACACTTCTCTGAAGTCTCTCCGCCCCACTCACTTCACAGAGTGTTTGTTGTGGGGGAGGAAAGGAAAGGAGAATGTTAGCCACTTTGAGAC